AAGGAAGTCAGCCACAGCCAAATACCTACACGGAGTAAGGCATATCCTGAAAAGTCAGCTAAATGGACAGAACAAGGTCCGACCCATCAACACATACGCCCTGCCAGTCATCAGATACCCAGCTGGTATATCAAGCTGGCCAAAGGAGGAAATAGAGGCCACTGATATCAAGACAAGGAAGCTTATCACAATGCATGGGGGTTTCATCCCAAGCCCAGCACCCTGAGACTGTACACTAAACCGAATGAGGGAGGCCAAGAACTCATGAGCGTCAGAGCCACTGTCCACGACAAAACAACCAAGTGATGCTAAATGAATACCTCAGGCGGCAGAAACCTGAGAATGCAGAAGAGGATGACGAACCATCATTGAAGGACAAGCCCCTGCATGGCACGTACCAATGACAGATTGAAGAAGTGACCGACATCAAGAAATCCTACCAGTGGCTGGAAAAGACTGGACTGAAAGACAGCACGGAAGCATTAAAGGCACTATGTGTAACAATTTCAATTGTTCTTTGAGACAAACAAATTTTGCAGTCAAGAGCGTGTCCTAGCACATGTGTGTTTACCTCCATCAGTGTATCTGTAATCTAATTATGTCCGTAAGCTCCGAAATTCTCATTTACATGTACATTGCGACCGGTGTCTCATCATGTACGCGCGCCATCTTGAAAATACAGGTGTGTACAGGGACATACTTGAGAAATACGGAATAGCCTTTCGCTTTTTCACTTGTCGGTTTCCGCCTGCAGGTAAGAGTGACGAAAAGCAGCAGCAAGCAGGCTAGTCACAAGTGCCAGTGCCGGAGAAAGGTAATGCAATCACAGGACAGCGCCGCTGTTAGCTGGGAAACAGCTCACAGCTAACAGCAACAAGTGGCTCAACCTCACACACCTCATCCCTCTTCTCCTTGCATCACTGCACCCCTGTTAGCTGTTAGCCGTTTCCCAGCTAACAGTGGTGCTGGCCTGGCATTACCTTTCTCCTTCAGCAGCTCTCTCCACCTAGGAAAGGTTACCCCAATGTTGACCTTCGTTTTTTTAATTCGCCAGTCACATTGCCCTTTTGATTCCCTTTTGCGCTTTCTTGGCGACAAGGATTCCGTCTCCCGTGATGCTGCATATGCATGATCCTCCATTATGCTTAAAGAGTCGGACTTTGTTATGCTGCATTTGTTATGCTGCAGTAGTGCCGGGGTAATAGCGGCACCGCTAACAGCTGTCAGCGGCGCAGTGATGCGAGGAGAGGGATGAGGTGTGTGAGGTTGAGCCACTTGTCAGTTGTCAAAACACAAGACGTGATCGGTTTGTTTCGATTAACACCCACTCCAACAGTCCTACTTTGAAAACACAGCCAGCATGGTGAGGAGGGGGTTTGTCAACTCACGTCGCGTGTGTCTGTGTAGGAGCCTGAATGAATACTCCATTAATTATCGGATGACATGGTTTCATCAATGTTATCATAGCTTTTTGGTACACAGCGGCTACCGTTGTTGCAATACGCGTTTGAAACAATGAGGCGCTAGAGTGTGCTATCCATTTGAATGCAATATATGATTTCAACGTTAGATGGGAGAAATTCCTACACACTGTGGCTTTAATCATGGCAGCACAGAAACAGGCACTTAGTACAAGATCAACAGAAGCAGGAGTCTACCACACCAGACAGGACCCAAGGTGCAGGCTGTGCAAAGATGCTCCTGAGACAGTTCAGCACATAATAGCAGGGTGTAAGATGCAGGCAGGAAGAGCGTACATGGAACACCATAACCAAGTAGCTGGCATAGTGTACAGGAACATCTGCACTGAGTAGGGGCTGGAAGTCCCAAGGTCACAATGGAAGACACCTCCTAAGGTGGTTGAGAATGACTGAGGTAAGCTCTTAGGGGATTTCCAGATCCAGACTGACATACTGGTGCTGGCTAACCAACCGAACATCATCAACAACAGAAGAAGGCAGTGGTGATAGATGTAACAATTCCAAGCGACAGCAACATCAGGAAGAAAGGGGAGCTAGAAAAGATTAAGGGAGTAAAGGCAACAGTGGTGCCAGTGGTAACTGGAGCACTCAGGGGTGTGACCCCGAAACTGGGAGAGTGGCTGCTGCAGCAGATTCCAGGGAACAACATCTGGGGTCTCTGTCCAGAAGGGCATAGTCCTAGGAACAGTTAGATACTGCACAGAAACCTCAAACTCCAAGGCCTCTGGTAGAGGACCCAAGCTTGAGGAAGACACACCACCACCCCCATGAGAGGGAGGATGAGAAGGGGATGCTGGATTGCAGGGTTTAGTTTAATCTATAATGGTACATAATAATATTAGTTCATTTATTTTGTATTTTTAGTCAGTGTCTTCAAAGTAGCTAAAGTAGACAAATAAATATAGTGGAGTAAGTACAATATTTCACTCTGAGATACAGAAGAATATACATAAAGTAGCATAAAATGGAAATACTCAAGTATAAATACCTTAAAATTCTCTAAAATTAAATGACACCATTTGTAGTAACTAATTAACTAATTAATAACAACTAATAATTTCACATCACAATTAGACTTGCACCAATTAATCAGCAGTGCTCAGAATTGGGCTGATTTTCACGTGATCGGCCATGACCTGCGACCAGCCGGTCGGTCTAAAATATGCCAATTTAAAACATTGGTCAAATTTCCACCGCGCCGCATGATTGACATTGTGTAACATCAGCAGCGCACACACACACACATCTTGTATTGTTATCTTGTGTTGTATCTTGGTTAAAATGTTCTAATAAAGGAAAGATAGAAAACACTGCAATATCTTATGTGCTGTAAAGTGGTATGAAAAAAAAAAAGAAATCGGAATCGGACAAAATCGGAATTGGCCATCCAAACACTCTGCAAATTGGAAATTGGCCCAAAAAATTGTAATCGGTGCAAGTCTAATCACAATTTATAATTTATCTGGGCACATATGCTTTTAAGGGTAAATAATATGCCAGCGTGCATAAAAACCACCAAAATAGACTTGTTCGTCAAATAAATTTACTGGGGAGGGTCCCACCTGGACTCCCCTAGGACCCTATAGGCCCGTTTCCACCACAGGAACTTCGGGGTAATTTTATGGGGCCGGGGCCGTTGGTGCGTGTCTCCACCCCAGGAACCACCCCCGAAGGACAGAGTTCCGGAACTTTTACGGGGGGCTAAACAAGTCCCTGCCTCGGGGTAGGTACTCAGAACGGCCCCGAAAGACTCCTGGCTGGAGCTTGGGGATTACTTGGTGCTGATTGGATATACTCAAGGAGGGATGTGACGTCAACAGAAAGCAACAAAATAGCCGGCATTTTTAAAACTCAGCAGACGAGAGTTAGCTCGTTCATATAGCTTTCGCCGCCCTGTAAAAAAAACTCACTAAATGGCCCGTGAAAAAAATATTCTTTCCAGCGGATATCTTAGTTACAACATGATTGAGCTAGCAAAGCAGTTTTGTGTTGATATGTGTGGTATTTATTCAGTTTTGGGAAATCACGATGTCTAGAAAGCATCAGCTAACAGCAGCAGCAAAGCTAACATCAGAATGTCATCTGTTAAAAGCTCCCATTGTTGGATACGACACGAAACTACTACAGTTAGCTCAATCATGTTGTAACTAAGACATCCGCTGGAAAAAATATTTTTTTCACGGGCCATTTAATGAGTTATTACAGACACCACTATCGGCTAACGCCGTCCCTACGTCGCCCCGGTCAAAATGGTCGCGCAACGATTACGTCACATCCAGAGGCAGCCCGTAACTTTACAGGAACCTTCCTCGTTCTCCACTCAGTGGTAGCCTCACGTCACCAGGCTCTTCAAGCGAAGAGCCTGGTGTCTATTCACTCCGAATTTTGTCTGGATTCTGGTTCCGGTCTAGGGAGCGGATGCGGCATTCACCAAATTCACCAAACTAAAAGTGTTCACCATAGTAAAACTTTAAATTCTGGCGCACCATCGATTTGGGGTGATGAGGGGTGTAAGAAAATCGATTAACTTAATGGCTTGGGGTTTTTCTTGTAAATTATATTCTTTAAATTAAAAGTTTCACCGCATTTTTATTAGCTTGGTGCTTTTATTTTTACGGAAAGGCACATCCATCGAATTCCGGATCCTGTCTCACTCGCCCTGGTTCCGTTTCCTTACCAAAACGGCCACTAACGGCCCCAGACGAACTCAGTGGAGACACGGCGGTTGAGAGGGCCGAACGAGAGGACGTTCCTGTAGTAGTTCCTGCCCCCCAAATAGTACCAGGAACTTCTTCAGTGGAAACGGGACTTATGTCCTCAAATCCTAGAAACGTCCCTGGTAGACACCATGTGACCAGCTGTGAAACAGCTGACATGCCCAGGCATATCCAGGAAGGCACACGGTGTTTGTAAGACATAGCACACACGGCTACGTCATGATTCAGTTAAGTTTTGTAATAGGTATTAACGAAATATGTAAATATGACAAAAATACAACAGTACACAAGTAAAAATAAATAAATAAAAAATAAAATATTGGCCGATTCTCTTACGGACAAAAACTTAAACAGATCTGCGGTAACGGGTTACACATGTACACTGTGGCAGGCTTTGTTTGCGATTACCCCCGGTAGCTACTACTAACTTCGTTAGATCTCTTGCCTTTGGTTGCTAACATTGTTAGCCCCATAGATAATTTTATATTCAAACAAAAACAAAAAGTAAAGATGCCAATTAATTTAGGCTGGCATTTCGAAAATACACATACATGCATGGTTATGTTTCAGAGAATGACTTCCATAGAATCTTCTGGTAAAGGAGCTAGCAGTGCGCCACGGCAAATAACATTAAAACTTTTAGGATGTAACAGCCTTCAGCAGCAGACTTCAATCTGGTTGAGAGGTTTAGCATAATGTTCCTGCTACTCAAACAGAGGAGAAGGTACAAAAACGGACCCCATTGACTGACAGCTGACATTGTTATATAGTTTGTCACTTAGTAAGGTGATGGTAAACTTACGTAGCTTTTTCCACATAGCATGGTGGCAGGCTACAAATCCTTTGCGTATAGCAGAGCAGACCTCCCGATCACAATCTGACCAGAATCCCCGCTGCTTCTTCATGAACTCCCACAAATAGTCTCTGGCAAACTGCGCAGCCTCGCGACCCCCGTGCCCGTCAAACACAGCGAAGAACGCAACGGAACGGCGGGAAGGACTCGCGGTGCTTGGCTGAGCTCGTAGCGGGCTCTGACCTCCCGGTAAAGATGTTTTCACTAATATACTTTGGTCATCCCTTCGCACAGGTTCACGCGATGCATGTGAAACCTGTGGGGACACAACGGTCTCACCAGCCCGGTCTAGATGCGTGCTCGCAGCTACAGAACTGAGCGTACAGTCTCCCCTTCTGCTCTCTTCTGGCTCACCCGAGGTCGGCTCATCTTCCCCCGGCTCGGGCTCTACTATGACCTCGGTCACATCTTCCATGTATTTTCTGCCTCCTTGGTCGGTAAATACACTCACTCGCATCAGTAACGTGTTTTCCATGGTTGCAGAAGTAAAGCGTTTTCCAATTTTTCGGTAATGTTAGCATATAGAGTACCAGCAGCGCAGAATTTATTGCCGAGTAGCGTCCTGCCTTTGTTTATGTTAGAGCTTAGTAGGCATGCTCAAACGCGTTGACGTCAAAATCTGTCTTCTTCTAGCAGGTGGACGTGGCAGCGCCACTGCAGCTGTTGCCCTCTAGAGGTCGGTCCCCGACCATAAGCACCAACTGAGAGAGAAATGTGCCGCAGAAGGGTATAAAATGATCAAGAATGTGTGTATACTGTATAGCATTAAAGTATTTCAGAAAGTGTAGGCTTGTGTTTTCGTTGTTTTAGTCCTGTACTCCATCACTTTTTTTGATAGATCTCTTTATTGAATTTTCCATAACGAGGGCAAAAATACAACGAATGTAATAAATACCTAGAGAGAGAGAGAGAGAGAGAGAGAGAGAGAAGGGTAATCCAGAGAGTTCAACATAAATATCAAGCAGTGAAATGAGGTGCAACAGCACTTGAATATACAAAAAGCAGTGAGTACAGTGAATAGGCTATAAGATTGGAATACATGATAAAGATAAAACCACTGGTTAACTCAAGGCTCACATTTAAGAACGGGCATTACTTAGTATTAGGGGTATGGAGGAGCCTCGAGGTACAATTCCAGAAAATGCAACAACAGGGCACAGGCCAATGTTTTCATTTGTGACAGAGGAAAAGGTTTTGAAGATAGATTGCCAGGACTCTGTAAGAGAAGGACAGAACCAGAACATATGAATAAGAGTTGCGTGGGCTTGATCACATCTGTTGCAGAGAGGGCCTCTGTCAGGTTTTAATTTAGCGGATCTAATCTTAGTCCAGTAAACTCTGTGAATAGGCTTTAACTGAAAAAAGACTATGACCAGTGCAAACAGAAAAAGTACAAATTTTAGAAATAACATCATTCCACTCTGCATCTGAAAATGTGTGGCCAAGGGTCAGGGTACCTTCAGGCAGTTCGTTTTTTCGTTTTAAACCAAAAACGAAAAAACGGAAATACCATGGTTTTCCCGTTTTTTCCTTTTTGGTTTAAAACGAAAAAAAACGAGAAAATGGAGCCGTTTTTCCGTTTTTGTTGTCAGAATCAAAAAAACGAAAAATGACAAAACCAAATTCAAATAACAGCCCGATTTTGGTTTTTTGCAGATTCATTTTTTCAGTTATTGTTTTGGACAAAAAGTAGAATGGCGGTGACATCAGAGGAAAGACAGGAAGATAAGCTTGCCTAAAACTTATAAATATCCTATTAAACTTTCCCATGTATCTTTTATTTCCACTTACACCTGATGTTTTGCGCATTTTGAAAAGCTGCCTGCCATTGCTATGAGGAACTTTTTATTCATAAAAATAGAAATAAAATGTTATGATAGCAAATTTTATGGATACATTAAAACTTGTTGTTCAACCATAACGTTGCTGTTCAGAGACTAATAAGGGAAATCGTCATGCACATTGTTCCCATGAAGGACGTATAGGGATTCCCTCAGAGGTTGTGTTTTAATATTAATTCGCCGAATTGTTTGCAATAAAGTAATCGAGGATATAATAAATTATTGTGTATGCTGCGTTGTTACTGTTAACACCATAAACATATATACATAGACGCCGCATCAAGTGCCTGAGCGCGTCCTCGCCGGCCGCCATCTTGGATGGGTCTCGCTTCGCCTCCACAGTGCGTTCACTTCTATTGAGGAAGGATCTGTATGCACAAGTAAAATAGAATAACTCACTGAATTTTCAACTGATTTTCACGCGGTTTGGTTTGTTACAAACGGCACACATGTAGTTATGATACAGGATGCTTTTGTACATTAAAAATGCGGGATTTCATGCTTTAATACTCTCTGCAGATAGCAACAGCATGTTATTTAGGTCACAACACAGTTATTTTTTTCACCTCAACCCCAGAGTGCGATGGATATATATCCATCGCACTATATATACTATATAGATAGATAGATAGATATAGATATACACACACATACACACACACACACACACACACATATATATGTACAGTACAGGCCAAAAGTTTGGACACACCTTCTCATTCAATGCGTTTTCTTTATTTTCATGACTATTTACATTGTAGATTCTCACTGAAGGCATCAAAACTATGAATGAACACATGTGGAGTTATGTACTTAACAAAAAAAGGTGAAATAACTGAAAACATGTTTTATATTCTAGTTTCTTCAAAATAGCCACCCTTTGCTCTGATTACTGCTTTGCACACTCTTGGCATTCTCTCCATGAGCTTCAAGAGGTAGTCACCTGAAATGGTTT